TACATCACCAAAACAGTCTCACCCGATCAATAAGTGGCGTAGGCCGCAAACAGATCGCGCTTCATCGAAGGGGCGGGGCGGTCATGTGTTTTTCGTGAAGCACGTTGACACCTACGTTGTCTACTTTCGTCGGCGGTAGTTGGAGTGGACTAGCAGCAGGAAGAGCAACATCAAGGTGTGCCTATTCTATGCTCGGTACTCGTCCTAGACTAGACTCGTCTGCTGTACATGATTTACACACATGCACGCTGTCCTGCTGAACCCGCAAGCTACACTTTCTGCAGGGTAGACTTGCTGAACAATCGGCCAAAAAGAACATGCGACACAGCCCTTTCTCTATGGTACATTTGTGTAGTTAGCAGTCTGAACTACTGCTGTACTCTACTCTAGACCACTCTAGACCACTGCCAGCGTCGACTTCGGCAACATGGAACAGGTGCGAGGGCGCACAGCACAGGTGAGATAAAGCAGAGCAGTACGTACGTACACTAGAAGGACGCCCCGTATCTTTGAAAATTCGGCCGCACACCAGAACTCTGCAAGATATTGACATGCCATCTTCGCGTCTTTGCACACGAGCTCGCACACTGCAGCTATTACTGATACCACACTAGACTAGACTAGACTAGTCAACAAGTACATCCTCACGTGTCTCGTCCGTGTTATGCACGTGGTCGGCCTCCGGCTTGTGCTCGTCGAGAGGAGAGCTGCCCACTACTTGTAGAACTCGACGATGCGAGGCTCCTTGTCCTCGGTGATTCTGGTTGACTCGTAGATGCGAGTCGTCCGCTCCGACACCCGTGGGTGCCTCTTGAGGAAGCCAGCCAGCCAGTCCTTCCCCGGACCCTTCTCTGGATCCCAAGGGATCGGGCGACCGTCGTTGCACAGCAATAACGGTTTCTAGCAGGTGCAGCCGACCCACAGCCAAGCAGTGACGACCAGCGTACAGCAGAACATCTTCAAGAGAATTTTCCTCTTCTTCGCTCAGGGCAGTCGCGGGACCAACTTTTGCTTTCATGGCCACCTCGCCATCGAGGCGGCTCTTACTCGACCACCCATCTATAGCCCAAAGAGCATATACAGAGGCCTCTCGGATCTTCATGCCACCTCTAACTGCTTCACATGCCTTCCGAGCTTGCTCTGGGTCCACCTGGCGGCGGCCCATATGCTTATCAGCAAAACCAGCAAAAGACCGAAGATGGCCCGCGTCGGCGGTGGGTGGTGCTGCTGCTGCTGTATCTCATCGCTGGATGCTCTGATTGCGACGCTGAAGAGCTCAAACGAAAGCTCTAGAATAGTCTCTCCGCGAACTTCAAAAACAAGGGAATACGACACAACAGGGTATACCCTGGTCGAAAAGCGACACACCTGGGTACACAGTCATTAACAGCAGTAAATGCACTAATCTCAATAACTATACCCTGTTTTCGGAAATGTACCCTGATCCGTCGGGAAATTGGACCCTTTCATCAATCATTTCCCCCGCAGGAATCTTCCCAACTCGTTTTCCCCTCCAACCATTGGATACCAAACGGCGACTCTTCCCGCCCAATAACAACCATGGCAACGGGGCAGGAATCAGTTTCCGCCCCTGCGAAACCGAGAAGATTCAGTACGTATTGGAATCTGTGGTTTGTGGAGACGTGTTGGAATTCGGAAAAGCGGGGATCGAAGATAGATAGGCAGCCCTGGTGTCAGCAAGTTTTTGTGCTCGCTGGGCGAGAGACAAGCAAGTGCATTTGAGAGAAGGAGAGGAGTAGTAGCAGAGATAGCAGCTTTGAGGAGCAACAAACACGGAGTGCCGCCTAGGATTTGATCGATTTTGGGATGGACGGCAATGACGGGCAACCGGCGAGCGCGAGCGCCGCGGCGCGCGCCGCGGCGGCCATACAAGGCAACTCGGGGGGCGGCAATCCTCCAAGCTCGGCTGCCGGTGGCGGGGACGACCAAAACAGGCAGCAGCAGCAGCAACAACAACAACAGCAGCAGCCGCAGCAGCAGCAGCAGCAGCAGCAGCAGCAGCAGCAGCAGGGACACCAGCATGGCCAACCGCAGCAACGCCGGCGGTCTGGCGGTAGCAATTCCGCCGCCGCCGCCCATGATTCACGGAGCCCCCAACCTCAGCTGATGCAATAGCAGCAGCAGCAGCAGCAGCAGCAGCAGCAAGGGCAGCAGCAACAGCCCCAGCAGCAGCAGCAGCAACAGGGAGTCGGGAGCAATCCGAACCTCTTCTCGCTGCTTCAACAGCTCGTGAATCAGGGCAATCGCCAGCAACTACAGATCCGGTCTCTCCAGGAGGTGGTGGTAAACTTGACCGGCAACCGGCAGCCCGCGCAGGGCGTCGCGGCCCACAACAATGCCCAGAGCGGCTCCGCCCTTCACAATAGCCAGTCAGTAGTCCTCCCCCTGGTCCAAGCGCCGCCGCCGCAGCAGCAGCAGCAGCAGCAGCAGCACCAACATCAGCAGCAGCAGCAGCAGCAGCAGCAGCAGCAGCAGTAGCAGGAACAACCTCACCAGCAGCAGCAGCCGCCGCAGCCGCAACCACTGCAACAACGGTATCAACACCAACAACTCCAGGCCTACCCCAGCCAGCACTACCACCAGTCGGCCGCGCCCCAGGGATACCAACAGCTCGCGAGCATCCCGGGGGCCGCGCCTGTACACAATGCCCATCGGCTGAAAGAAGCCCAAAAGCTGGAGGGCCGCACGTGGGAAAAGGACGGCCGCGAGGCATTACCTTCTCGCCTAACGTCATGACGAGGGACGAGTTCGACCACATCATCCGGGACGTGGCCCACCCCCACCCGGGCCTGCACGCGCTGCTTACCTTCAGCGCCATCGACATCGCGGCGTTCTCACCGCC